GAGCCACAGCGGCAGCAGCGGCAGCAGCAGCAGCCGCGAGAAGCATCCCGGCCGCACTCCGCCCGCGTGGGCAGCGGCTGGGGACCGGAGTAGGCAGATTACGAGACGCGCCCTGCTCAAAGCGCGCGTCTCACAGACCGATGCGCGCGTGCGCGTGTCTGTCGTCCTAATCGTGTCACTTCGTGCGCGGTGTCGGTGACAGAGCGATCAGCGCGCTGCGCTACGAACCCGACGTCCCGAGTCTCGATTTCCGCTCACGGCCACCAACACCGGTGACGATTATCTGAACCGGCCCTGGGCCTCCCCTAGGTCGACTCAGCCTCAAATGAGTACCTGGGACAGCGTGTAAACATCGCCACTGGGGAGACAAAGGCGGTCCGGCGTGGTCCTGGCCCTCCACCCCTTCGTGTGCCGTGCCGGTCATGATCTGTGCTACTTGCTAACAGCACTTTCCCCAACAGTCGATTCAAGGCTACACGGGGGGATCTCTGTCGTTGTCTAACTTTACTGACACCGATCACGAGTGTGGGAGTGCGTCTTACTCCCCGGGGCGTCTAATTACAATGGGGAGAACGAGGCGTGGGCCGTGAAGGGGCGCGCACTCCAGAGACGACGTCGACCTCGGTTCGAGGAAGCCGCCGGCTGGGTCGCCCCCGAGGCCGCGCGCGGTCCAGGCGATCGCGACGCGATGTCAAACGAAAGCATGACAGTGTTGTTCTTAAAACTCCACAACCACACGCTGGATTTGGGAGCTGGGCATGTAATTACGGGACGGCAAGTTGGGGTTCGTGTACCCGTCTGTGTGGACCAGCGAGTGTCGCGCCCCTCGTGGCCTGCGCGGTGCCGGGGTTTCTCCGGGGTCTCCGGGGTCTCCAGCCCCTCGTCGTGGGCTGTATAGAGGACACGTGTCGTTTGCTGTGTGCAGAGACGTTGTCTGCAGAGACGTTGTCTGCAGAGACGTTGTCTGCAGAGACGCTGTCTGCAGAGACGTTGTCTGCAGAGACGCTGTCTGCTCGTCTCTCGCGTCCTTGAATTCTCCACAGCCGCGCGAACCATGGGGCTCGCGTCTCGTTATTGAAATGGGAAATTGCCAAAACATCCCCCGTGTAGCAGCAGCAGCACGCTCCTGGCAGTGGAGTCTTGAGACTCATTGGAGTGAGTGGCACTTGGGAGTGAGTGGCACTTGGGAGTGAGTGACACTTGGGAGTGAGTGACACTTGGGAGTGAGTGGCACTTGGGAGTGAGTGGCACTTGGGAGTGAGTGACACTTGGTGGAGTGAGTGGCACTCGGTGGAGTGAGTGACACTTGGGAGTGAGTGGCACTTGGGAGTGAGTGGCACTTGGGAGTGAGTGGCACTTGGGAGTGAGTGGCACTTGGGAGTGAGTGGCACTTGGGAGTGAGTGGCACTTGGGAGTGAGTGACGCTCGGTGGAGTGAGTGGCACTTGGGAGTGAGTGGCACTTGGGAGTGAGTGACACTCGGTGGAGTGAGTGGCACTTGGGAGTGAGTGGCACTTGGGAGTGAGTGACACTCGGTGGAGTGAGTGGCACTTGGGAGTGAGTGGCACTTGGGAGTGAGTGACACTCGGTGGACTGAGTGGCACTTGGGAGTGAGTGGCACTTGGGAGTGAGTGGCACTTGGGAGTGAGTGACGCTCGGTGGAGTGAGTGGCACTTGGGAGTGAGTAACGCTCGGTGGAGTGAGTGACACCCGTAGGGGCACAGCCGCTCACGGACTCGTGCGGGAGGGGCGGTCTAACCATCGGTACCGGATTCGAACCTGTGGCGCGCCTCTCGCCTGTTGCTCCTCAGAGAGAACAGGGAAGGAGTTTGCAAACAACAACAAACACCACCGAGCTCCCGGACGAAGTCACGTGACGCCAATTAAGGGTAATTAATGCGCGCGTGATTCACTGCGTTAATTAATTCGTCATGCGTCCCTTATTGGCGTACGGCAAGTCGCGATGACGGATGATGATGATGATGCTGCTGCCGATGATAATAATGATGAAAGTGCTGATGATGATGCTGCTGCCGATGATGATAATGATGAAAGTGCTGATGATGATGATGATGCTGCTGCTGCCGATGATGATAGTGATGAAAGTGCTGATGATGATGCTGCTGCTGCCGATGATGATAATGATCAAAGTGCTGATGATGATGATGCTGCTGCCGATGATGATAGTGATGAAAGTGCTGATGATGATGATGCTGCTGCCGATGATGATAATGATGAAAGTGCGGATGATGATGATGCTGCCGATGATGAAAGTGCTGATGATGATGATGCTGCCGATGATGATAATGATGAAAGTGCTGATGATGATGATGCTGCTGCTGCCGATGATGATAATGAAGAAAGTGCTGCTGCTGATGATGCTGCTGCCGATGATGATAATGATGAAAGTGCTGATGATGATGATGCTGCTGCTGCCGATAATGATAATGATGAAAGTGCTGATGATGATGCTGCTGCTGCCGAATTATCGAACTCGGGTGGCTGCGATCGTAGCGCAGTTTGCTGACCACTACGCCACCGCTACCCACTTGCTTGCACGCAAAAAAGACAAAGATCCCCCGTATAGCCTGTAACAGACTGCTGGGGCAAGTGCTGTTAGCGAGCACCTATGAAGTTCTGCCCGGTACATGAGGGGGTGGGTGGCCAGCACCACGCCCGGCCGCCTTTGTCTCCCTAACGGCGATGTTTACATATCGCACCAGGTACTCATTTGAGGCCGAGTCGACATATGGGAGGCCCAGGCATGGTAAAGATAATCGTCACTGGTATTGGCCTTTAGAGGGAATCGAACCCGGCCCGCCAGATTCGTAGCACAGCGCGCTAACAGCTACACCACCACTCCCCACTTGCACACACACACAGACACACACAGACAGACACACAGACAGACACAGACACACACAGACACACACAGAAACACACACACAGAAACACACACACAGAGACGCACACACAGAAACACACATACAAACACACAGACAGACACTGAGACACACACACACGGCACTACTACGCCCGGCCGCCGCTGTTGCTGCTGTTTACACATGGCACCAGGTACCGTGCTAAATTAAGGATGGACACGATGAACACGCGTGGTATGGACGCACCTATCCATACATAGACATAGCTCCGCCGTACATCCTAAACGGCCCTTTGTAGCACCGACTACGAAGGCCGGCACAGCACACGCGGGAGTGGTGTATCCAGGACCACGTCCGGCCACATTTGTATCCCTCGTGGTAATGTTTACACACCGTACCAGGCACTCATTTGAGGCTGAGTCGACCTAGGGGAGTCCCAAGCACGGTAAAGATAGTCGTCATTGGTTTTGGCCGTGAGCGGGAATCGAACACGGATCGCCGGGTTCGTAGCGCAGCGCCCTAACCACGACACTACCACTCCCCACGTATACACATATACATAGTATATACAAATACATACAACTATACACACGAGGCACACGCATACACGCAGACACGCCAATAGACAGACACGGTACACAGACACGCACACACGAACACACAAACACACACACACACGAACACGCACACACACACGAACACGCACACACACACGAACACGCACACAAACACACACACACACGAACACGCACACACACACGAACACGCACACACACGAATACGCACTAACACACGAACACACACACACACACGAACACGCACACACACGAACACGCACACACGAACACACACACGAACACACACACCCACGAACACACACACGTGCACTAACGAAAACAGCGACACACGTTTACTGACGCAGTTGGGATGCGCGCTTGCACGTAAACACCAACACACGCACATTCGTGCAAACGCAGACACGAGTACTTTAACACACACATATATATACAAAGACAAAGAACCCCCGTATAGCCTGAACAGAGGGGGTGGGTGGCCAGCACCACGCCCGACCGCCTTTGTCTCCCCAGTGACGATATTTTTACACACTACACCAGGTACTTATTTGAGGCTAAGTCGACCTAGGGGAGGCCCAGTACAGGTTCAAATAATTGTCACCAAACCCGGCTCCCTGGGTTCGTAGCGCAGCGTAGCGCTAACCGCGACACGACCGCTCCCCACATACGCACACACAGACACACGTCAACATACATGTTAACCCACCCACTCACACACGTCAACATACATGTTAACCCACCCACTCACACACGTCAACATACATGTTAACCCACCCACTCACACATGTACACACGTCTGGAAACTCACACAGAACAAACAAAGATCCCCCGTGTAGCCCCAACGGATTGTTGGGGCAAGTGCTGTTCGCGAGTAGCAGTGGGTTGTGTGGCCCGCGCCACTCCCAGGCCGCCTTTGTCTCCCCGGGGCGGATGCTTACGCGCCGCACCAGGAACTACATGAAGGCGGAGTCGACCTCGGAGATATCCGCCACTATTATTCTAAATAATTATCTCGCAATCAAACGTGGGTCGCCTGGTTCGTAATGCAGTGCGCTAACCGCTGCGCCACCGCTCTCCGCACACCCACACATACAGTATACAAAGACACGTGTACACACACGTGCGCTCACATATACACACGTACACGCACGCACATGTGTACGCACACGTGCGTACATTTTATACGCACGCGAGTACGAGTACGCACGCACATACTTGTACACAAAGACAAAGATAACCCGTATAGCCTTACCAGACTGTTGGGGTAAATTTTGTTAGCGAGCACCTATGAAGTTGTACACAGATACACACACACACGTGTACACAATATGTACACACACACACACGTGTACACACACACAACGTGTACACACACACAACGTGTACACACACACACAACGTGTATACACACACGTGTACACACACACACACGTGTACACACACGTGTACACACACACGTGTACACACACACGTGTACACACACACGCACGACGTGTACACACCGTGCACACACACACACACGACGTGTCCACGCGCTCTCGTACCCTCCGGCTGCGCCGTGTCGCTGCCGCTGCTCAGGCCCCCCAGCTCCATCTGCCTCGCGCAGGCGACGCCCCGAGCCCCCCCCACTTCGTCCTCGTCGTGCGCGGCCCCCCTCGACCCCGGGGGGGGCTGCTGGACCCTGCGCAGCGCCCCCGCCGCCTCCTCCAGGTCCAGCAGGTGGCTCACGGAGAAGTTCTTGGGCGCCTGCAGGTTGACCCCCCCGGGGTCGACGCCCGAGAAAGGTCCCTGCTTGTCCACCCCGGCGCCGTGCATCGTCCCACCGCCACCACCTCCACCACCTCCTCCTCCGCCACCTCCACCTCCGCTCATGGTCAGACCGAGCGGGCTCCGCAGGATGAACCGGGGGTTGCTATCAAAGCGGTCGGTCGGGAGACGCAGCCAGCCGGCTCAAGGGCGGAAGTCAACAAGCGCGCAACGCTTGGCCAGGAATCATCATCATCAGCACCATCAGCAGCATCATCATCAGCACCATCATCAGCACAAGATCAGCATCATCGTCGTCATCAGAGTCATGCGGAGCGAGGAGATCCGATCATCATCATCATCATCAGTCGCCCCAGCCCGATCCGATTCCTGTTGCCCGAGACGACGAGCAGCAGGAGCTGCAGCAGCAGGAGCAGCAGGAGGAGGTGGTGGAGGTCCTCCCGAGTCGCCGCGACTGGGAAGTTGCCGCGACCCGCGGAGTCGCCCCGCGTCGCTTTACGCCGCGCGCCGCGCTCGGCCCCACGCCCCGCGCGGCTCCCATTGGTCAGGGGGTGAGCGGGGAGGGGGCGGGGGGACGAGGCCCCCTCTACCCCCACCCACCACACGATACCCATACACACATACCCATACATACACACACATACCCACACACACACATACACACACATACCCATACATACACACATACCCATACACACATACATACACACACATACCCATACACACATACACACACTAACAACCCACACACACATACACACACAAACAACCCACACACACAAACACCCCCCACACACAAGATCCCCCGTGTAGCCTTAACAGACTGTTGGGCCAAGTGCTGTTTGCGAGCACGGCACACGAGGGGTGGGTGGCCAGCACCACGCCCGGCCGCCTTTGTCTCCCGCAGTGGTCAATGTTACACACACATCACACTCGGTACTCATTCGAGGCTTAGTCGACCTGTAGGAGGCCCAGTTACACCCTCATACACACACACCCATCCCACTCTGACTCACAAACACCCCCCCCCCCCACACTCATACACACTCAAATATATTCTCATACACAAAGATTCCCCCTTTAATGGGCTGCTGGGGCGAGCGCTGTGTGTGTGTGCGCAATGAAGGCCGGGACGGCACGCGAGGGTTCGGTGGATCGCACCACGCCCGGCCGCCTTTGTCTCCCCAGTGCTGATACTCACACCTCGCGCCAGCTACTCATTTGAGACCGAGTCGACCGAGCGGAGGCTTCGGACCGGTTCAGAGAATCGTCACCGGCGTTGGCCGTGAGCGGAATCGAACTCGGGTCGCCGGGCTAATAGCGCAGCGCGCTCGCCACTACACTACCGCCTCCCAATTACCCCCATACACTCACTCACACTCTCAATCACACCCCCCCCCCCACTCACCCACACCCCACCATAACACTCCCCACACTCACACACACTCCACACTCCACACTAACACACCCCACACTCACACACACACGCCCCCACACACACTCTCAATCACACACCCCCCACTCACACACACCCCACACTCACACCCCCACACTCACACACACTCCACACTCACACACTCACACACACCTCCACACTCACACACACCTCCAGACTCACACACACCCCCACACTCACACACACCCCCACACTCACACACACCCCCACGCTCACGCACACTCCACACTCACACACACTCCACACTCACACACTCACACACACCCCCACACTCACACACACTCCCCACTCACACACACTCACACGCACTCCACGCTCACACCCCCCACACTCACACACACCCCCACGCTCACACACACTCCCCACTCACACACACTCACACACACCCCCACGCTCACGCACCCCACTCCCCGCGGCCCAGCCGCCAATAAAATCGGACTTCAAACGCGGCCCAAAGTGGCGTGGACGATTTGATTTGAGCGATTAGAGCGCGGGTGACTCGCGGGGAGGGGTGAGTGAGGAGCGTGAGTGGTGTGAGTGTGAGTGAGTGGTGTGAGTGAGTGAGTGGTGTGAGTGAGTGGAGTGAGCGGTGTGAGTGAATGGAGTGAGTGGTGTGAGTGAGTGGAGTGAGTGACTGGTGTGAGTGAGTGGTGTGAGTGAGTGGAGTGAGTGAATGGAGTGAATGGAGTGAGTGAGTGGAGTGAGTGAGTGGTGTGAGTGAGTGGAGTGAGCGTGAGAGTGTGAGTATGTGAATGAGTGTGTAAGTGTGAGTGTGTATGAGAGTGAGTGTGTGTGAGAGTGAGTGTGCGAGTGAGTGGTGTGAGTGAGTGAGAGTGAGTGTGTGTGAGAGTGAGTGAGTGTAAAAGGGAGTGTGTGAGAGAGTGAGTGGTGTGAGTGTGTGAGAGTGAGTGAGTGTTTTAGTAAGAGTGAGAGGAGTGCACGGTGAGAGTTCTGAAGTTCCTCTCCCTCCATTCTCTCCCTCCCCGCTGTCCCCAGAGGGGGGGGGGGGGGTTGTGAAGAGATCGCGGCCTGGGAGCGGAGCCGAGGGAAGAGAGTGAGGGAGGGGGGGAGAGAGACGGGGACAGGGGAGGGAGGGGAGAGAGAGACGGGGAGAGAGTGGGAACGGGCAGAGACAGGAAGACGGGGAGAGAGTGGGCAGCGTGAGAGGGTGACGCGGAGAGAGTGGGGTGAGAGCGCGGGACGAGAGAGAGGAGTGAGAGAGCGTGTGGTGAGTGAGAGGAGTGAGTGAGCGTGGGGTGAGTGAGAGGAGTGAGTGAGCGTGTGGTGAGTGAGAGGAGTGAGAGCGTGTGGTGAGTGAGAGGAGTGGGAGGGCGCGTGGTGAGTGAGTGAGAGGAGTGAGTGAGCGTGTGGTGAGTGAGAGGAGTGGGAGGGCGCGTGGTGAGTGAGAGAGAGGAGTGAGAGGGCGTGTGGTGAGTGAGTGAGAGGAGTGAGTGAGCGTGTGGTGAGTGAGAGGAGTGAGTGAGCGTGTGGTGAGTGAGTGAGAGGAGTGAGAGCGTGTGGTGAGTGAGAGGAGTGGGAGGGCGTGTGGTGAGTGAGTGAGGGGAGTGAGAGGGCGTGTGGTGAGTGAGAGGAGTGAGTGAGCGTGTGGTGAGTGAGTGAGAGGAATGAGTGAGAGGAGTGAGTGAGCGTGTGGTGAGTGAGTGAGAGGAGTGAGTGAGCGTGTGGTGAGTGAGAGGAGTGAGTGAGCGTGTGGTGAGTGAGAGGAGTGAGTGAGCGTGTGGTGAGTGAGAGGAGTGAGTGAGCGTGTGGTGAGTGAGTGAGAGGAGTGAGTGAGTGTGTGGTGAGTGAGAGGAGTGAGTGAGCGTGTGGTGAGTGAGAGGAGTGAGTGAGCGTGTGGTGAGTGAGAGGAGTGAGTGAGCGTGTGGTGAGTGAAAGGAGTGAGTGAGCGTGTGGTGAGTGAGGGGAGTGAGAGGGCGCGTGGTGAGTGAGAGGAGTGAGTGAGCGTGTGGTGAGTGAGTGAGAGGAGTGAGTGAGTGTGTGGTGAGTGAGTGAGAGGAGTGAGAGGGCGTGTGGTGAGTGAGTGAGGGGAGTGAGAGGGCGCGTGGTGAGTGAGAGGAGTGAGTGAGCGTGTGGTGAGTGAGAGAGAGGAGTGAGAGGGCGTGTGGTGAGTGAGAGGAGTGAGTGAGCGTGTGGTGAGTGAGAGGAGTGAGTGAGCGTGTGGTGAGTGAGAGGAGTGAGTGAGCGTGTGGTGAGTGAGAGGAGTGAGTGAGCGTGTGGTGAGTGAGAGGAGTGAGTGAGCGTGTGGTGAGTGAGTGAGAGGAGTGAGTGAGCGTGTGGTGAGTGAGAGGAGTGAGTGAGCGTGTGGTGAATGAGTGAGAGGAGTGAGTGAGCGTGTGGTGAGTGAGAGGAGTGAGAGCGTGTGGTGAGTGAGAGGAGAGTAAGAAGAGAGGCGGGGGGGATGCGCCTTGGACTCCTCTCCGAGTCTCTCGCTCTCCCACGCGGACGCGAGCGTCACGGGGAGGAGGAGGAGGGGGTGAGGGGAGGAGGGGGGAGGAGTGAGAAGTGGAGTGACCAGGACATTGGAATTGCCGCGGCTCGGCGCGTGCCAAGTCCCTGACTCGGGCTGAGCCCATAAATCAGCGACGTTTCCGACTGCAGTCCACACCACGCGCCCCCCCGCGGGCACGGGGAGCGTGGGGGGGGCGGTGGTGGTGGAGGAGGAGGAGGAGGGGGAGGGGACGGAGTCCCCGGTGGGAGAGACGAGGGGGAGACGGAGGGGGTCGTGGGGAGACCGGGCGGCAAGTTCTCGCGGGGGGATTGTGGGAGACGGGGAGAGAGGGGAGAGGGGGGAGACACCACGAGAGAGACACCACGGGGGAGACGCCAACGAGACGCGGGAAGGGACGGGGGTGGGAGTTACGGGGGGTGGGGGGCTGGGTGAGATGGGGGAGTAACGTGCCCCCCTCCCCCCGTGCCCGCCGTGTGCTGGCGGCCTTCACGCTGATGTCTTATCGGCGAAAGTGGCCCTCTGCAAATGAGTGACGAGCACAGCTCGGAACGCAGCTTGAGTCTGAATGTGGAGGGAGACGATGCACGCAAGCGCCAGGAGAACACGCAAACTCCAAATGTAGAGCAGGCGTCAGGGTCGCGGTCGGACCCAAGACTCCCTGTACACCAGGCGAGGGAGTTAACATCCCACCACCGTGACTAGCGAGACGACGCCAGGCAGGGAGACCCGTGATGAGTGGGCGATGTGGTGATGGTGGTGGGTGATGTGGTGGTGGTCGTGGTTGATGGTGATGTGGTGGTGGTGGGTGATGTGGTGGTGGTTGATGGTGATGTGGTGGTGGTCCTAGTATGAAAGCAACAGGGTAATGGATCAAAGCCCACTGTTGCACTGTACTTCCATGATCTCCAATACCTTCACCAACCCGCACTGACCAGCGTGGTGAAGTATGGTCATAACACCCACACAACCACCACAGGCGTGGGAAGGGGGCTCTCAAAACTCCACTCATCCAACAGTGGATTAGCAAAGTGTGAGTACCTGGTGCGGTGCGTAAACAGCAGCACTCGGGACACGGAGGTGGTGGACGTGGTGCTGGCCACCCATCACCACGCGTGCCGTGCCGGCCTTCAGAGGTGCTCGCTAACTGAACTTTCCCCGACAGTCTGTTAAAGGCGACGGGGGGGGGGGGGGTCATTGTCGTTGTTGCGACTGTGTTAATTACTCGTTACTTCTGGAGCGAACTTCACACCGATAAAGAACACAAACAACAACTGGCAGCTCGCCGGCAATGGGCCGAGGAAGCCTGGCCTTGCTGATGACTCACTGAATGCAGAAACCGGTCCAAAGTGTCGCTCAGTGTGGACATCAATGCGTCTGAGATGATGCACTCCCAGGAGGAAGTCTGCGTGCGGCTGATGTGATGTGTGAACGACCGCGCCGTCTCGTGTGTGGGGGGTGCAGGGAGACGCAGATTGCGTCTTCATTCCAGCAACGTCAGCGCCGGCGTCTGGCAGCGCTGTGCGCGGGAAGTTGGGCACGGATCTGCAA